CCTTCTACACCCCGAAGCTCCGCAACTCACCTAAGTCCTTCGGCTGGATGATGGGTAACGGAGTTCTTTACGGTCAGCTGGATTATGTCAGGCCTGACTCCCTGCTGAGCGATGTGCAGGTAAATGTATATTTAAAAACGTTTATTCAGAAGCTAAAACATTTATGAGGTTATTTTGCACTGCATAAGTATTAAATGAAATGTAAGCGTTGGACAGAAATGAACATTTCCTCTGATATGACAGGCCGATAGGATGATGCAAATTTGTACGTAACTCAAACTGGTTACGAATCTGGTCCCGTAAGAAATATTTTCAATTTGGAGGTTTTTAAAGTGTTCAAAACGAATAGACTAGTTGCGACTACTGAAATAGGTCAAATTTGCCCTGGTTGTGCCTATTTTGAAGATTGTCTTAAGAGACAGCACTATTCAAGCCTGTTAAAGATACATTTTTCCGTTAAGTTTAAAGATTTCACATTAAAAAAATATAAGGTTTGTTTGACTTGTTAGCTTAGATGTAGTAGTTTTCTTATTGAAAAAAACTCTTGGTGAACATGTACCTTTTGAATCTGCCAGTGAGCCATAACAGTAACACAAGGCATAACAACATTATATAAGGGTATGCTATTTCCACTACAGGAGAGATTTGATTTCTATACTTTTTCTATACAAAAAAAGGATGTGCGTATATTAGCATCGGCATTGGAAATTCATCAGAAGGAGTTGGAAAATATCGGCAAAAATCCCACATCATTGATCTTTCAATAATAACTCCACCTTTTCCACATTGACTCCTTTGTCCTCCTTTTCTTATACTCTCTTCCACCACATTTTCTTTCCCCTAATGACACAGGTATGGGAGTACACGCCTGACATTGACATCAGTCTCAACAAGCCCATCTCCATCGTGCTGACGCAGTTCCACTTCCTGCTGCTGCTCCATGATCGAGTAAAGGCCATCTGCACCCTGAATGGACAGGAGGTGTACGAGGATGTGTTCCCAGATAAATTTGGCACCCTAAAGAAGATGATCAAGGACCCAGTTGGAGGGTTGGTGTGGATCTACACTGAGCGGGCGGTGTTCCGGTACCACATCCAGCGCGAGGCTAGGGACGTCTGGCAGATGTACATGAGCATGTCTAAGTTCGACCTGGCCAAGGAGTACTGCCGGGACCGGCCCGACTGCATGGACATGGTTCTGGCCAAGGAAGCCGAGCACTGCTTCCAGAACAAGCGGTACATCGACAGCGCCAAGTGCTACGCGCTGACCCAGAACTACTTTGAGGAGATAGCGCTCAAGTTCATCGAAGCCAAACAGGAGGAAGCCCTGAAGGAGTTCTTACTGAAGAAACTGAATCATTTGAAACAGAGCGAGAGAACACAGATCACCCTGCTGGTCACATGGCTCGCCGAGCTCTACCTGAACAGCCTCGGCCAGCTGGAGAGCGACGGCAACAGCGTCATCTTCAAGGAGACCCGCGAAGAGTTTCGAGAATTCCTCAGCAGCTCCAAGCACAAGGAGTGCCTGTACAACAACCGCACCACCATCTACGACCTGCTGGCCAGCCACGGCAACGTGGACGATATGGTGTACTTTTCGGTCGTCATGCAGGACTACGAGAGAGTCATATCCCACTACTGCCAACACGACGACTACAGCGCCGCCCTGGATGTGCTCTCAAAGCACTGCGATCAAAGGCTTTTTTACAAGTTCTCCCCGGTCCTCATGCAGCACATTCCCAAAAAAGTGGTCGACGCGTGGATCCAGATGGGCAAGCGGCTGGACCCGAAGAAGCTCATCCCGGCTCTGATGAACTACAGCCAGATGGGCAGCACGCAGCAGATCAGCGAAACCATCCGCTACATGGAGTTCTGCGTGTACGAGCTGACCGTGACGGAGGAGGCCATCCATAACTACCTGCTGTCGCTCTACGCCAAGTACAAGCCGGATTCCCTGCTGTGGTACCTGGAGCAGGCGGGCACGCACCCCTCAGAGATCCACTACGACCTGAAGTACGCCCTCAGGCTGTGCGCTGAGAACGGCTACCTCAAGGCCTGTGTGCTGGTTTATAGGATTATGGAGCTGTATGAGGAGGCAGTGGATCTCGCTTTACAAGTAAGTGATGTTTTTTATTTTTTTATTGCATGTTGAACTGCAGCAATTTGTCGACGAATCAATTTGCCGATTAATTGTAAATTGATTGAGGTTTTTTTCATCCAAAATAGAAATAAATGCTGTTTTTAGCCTCTTATATTTGCGACTTCTCTCTGCTTTATATCATATTTAACTCAATATTAAGAATTGTTGCACTTTTAAGAAACTGGGATAAAAATGTTTCACTACTTTCAGACTATTTTTTATATACCAAATTATTAATTAAGAAAATGTTTTGCAGATTAATCGATCATAGAGAAAATAGTTAGATGCCACTCTAATGTGTCCAAATTATGCATCATTTTGTAGTAAACATATCATAAATCTTTGACTGAACTTGACTAATGCCACTCACTTGCAATGTGTTTATCAACCATAGGTAGATGTAGACTTGGCCAAGTCGTGTGCGGACCTGCCTGAAGATGACGAGGAACTGAGGAAGAAGCTTTGGCTGAAGATCGCGCGGCACGTGGTGCAGGAGGAGAAAGATGTGAAGAAAGCCATGAACTGTCTGTCCAGCTGCAACCTGCTCAAGATTGAAGACATCCTTCCATTTTTCCCAGACTTTGTCACCATTGACCATTTTAAGGTCTGTAACAAAGAGTTTCCTTTTCTTTTTGTAACAAGAGAAACATATCCATACATAATGCCAATATGTTTTGACTTGATTTTGGTGGTGAACCTTTTATATTTAGGAGGCCATTTGCAGCTCCCTGGAGGAGTACAACCAGCACATCGAGGAGCTGAAGCAGGAAATGGAGGAGGCCACGGAGAGCGCTAAACGCATCCGAGAGGACATCCAGGAAATGAGGAACAAATATGGCGTTGTGGATTCCCAAGAAAAGTGTGCTTCATGTGACTTCCCATTACTCAACAGACCCTTCTATCTGTTCCTGTGTGGACACATGTTCCACTACGACTGCCTGTTCCAGGTATATCTCAGAGGCTGCTTCTGTGCCACTGCACAAATGATGTGTTCTTTTAGTTTAGTTGAAATCTTAAAAGTATCATGAGTGAAATATATCTTCAATTATACATTTAAAAGATGCCAACAAAATAATTAGTTTGTAACTATCAAATCAGAGGTACAGGATGGTTTAAACTGAAACGCGCTCTTTTGTGCATCAATGAGTTCACAAAATGAATACAGAGTTAAATCCCGGATTAAATGTAAGTTAAGGGGTCTTGAAAATATTGATTGTGAAGTTATCCTTGTGATGTTGCAAATTACACTACTGAGAAGCAAGAAAAATGTCAGACTTGAACTGACTAAAAAGTATCAACGTACTGATCGTTAGCACATTTTCTATTCCTCTGCTTTCTAGGAAGTAACCCCTCACCTGACGCCCCTTAAGCAGAGTCGTCTAGAGGAGCTGCAGAAAAAGCTGGCCGCGACCACGCAAACCTCCAAGTCTCGACACCGCCCGGCTCCCAAGGACGAAGGAGACACTGCCAGTCTGGGAAAGGGCAATGCGGGCACAAGCCGCGAGCAGATAAAATCAGACATGGATGACATCATCGCGTCGGAGTGCGTCTACTGCGGCGAACTGATGATCAAGTCCATCGACAAGCCCTTCATTGATCCAAAGAAATTTGAGGAGGAGAAATCCAGCTGGTTATGAATGAGGCCTCAATTCCTCTCAATACGAAAAAGACATGACAGCCAACCATCCTGTATGTTGATGAAACTGCTCCATCCGTAGGACTGACCCATTCAGTGGATACAGACATTCACCTGATTGCCTACTGTTGTTCAGCTTCAGGTGTTATTTTGGTTGGCAGTATATGAAGCTGATTTAAAGACCTTTGCACTTTATATGGCTGTAAAAAGTGGACATTGTGGAAAATGATACAATGATGTACTGATGTATAATATTGCCAGGGCTGAACCTCTGAATATGATAGCAGAAAATAATTCAAAAGCTAGAATCAGATATAACTGCAATATACATCTATTAATAACTTTAAGTTATGCAATTGCTTTGTCTATTGGAAACATAACCTGCACTTCCTTAGCTCAATTCAACCGCGCCATCATCGGCTCTTAGTTCATCCTACAGGTAACGTGGGGCAGATTATCAAACTGTTAGTTTATATACTCACTGTTTTACGATAGATTTGTGGCACATTGAAGCTTGTCAGTATGGATGGACTGATATTTTGGTTGTTTAATGTAATAAATATTTAACAAATGATTTTAACTATTGACTGGACTGAAACAAATCAAAACCCTTCTTCACCATTCCTTTGCTCCCTGGAGGAGGACAGCAAACATCATCACATCAGTGGGCTTAAGCGATACACAGAATAGTTTATGCAGTTTAATAGTAAAGCATGTCAAAAAATTGAGCTGTTACTACTACTACTGTTACAGCAAGCATTTTTTGGATCCAAACAATGATTAGCATTCTGTGTGTATCACATATTTATTACCTCTATAAGTGACAGTACATTTTCATACATTTGCAAAAAAACAAGTATGTATATTTTCACATTTTCTGGAGTTCACTTTAAAATAGTATACAAGTTTACAATGGTCACATTTTACCCTGGATATCCCAACTGTCTCACCATACCTAAAACGGAGTTCCCGTATAATGACGTCAGACGTAGCTCGGTAATCTTCGCTGTGTGCAGACGCTATTAATCGAGATCGGAATTGAATCGATGCATTTGTACAAGTTGTTCATATGCCGCCCAAAACGTCATATATGATAGATATGAATCTAATTAAACTAACGAACGATACTGCTGCTATTTCTTGTCACATTCGTGCCTTCGTAGACATCCACAGGAGAGCGTCATTCTCTCTGCGATTGATTATAACGCCTGCTCCTTGCTGTACCCTCGCCATGGCGTCGTGTCTCTGCTCTCTCAGTAACAGAAAGTGGCCGCCTCTCTGCTGTTGCTGCCGACTCAAAGCTCACAGACTCGCTCGGCGCCTCAAACCGCCATTTTGGAGTCAGAGAACCGAGAGTCGGCAGCAGCGGAGAGAGAGACGCAAAAGGGGACACGGGGCCGAGGTGAGAGACTCCATGGTGGTTGTTATGGCGAAGGAGCAATGGGGGAAGATGGCCGGGAGGGAGAAAGAATTAAAACATGGGGATCATTCGTTCGCCAGGCAACCGAGTCCCCGCTTGTGGCCGAAACAAGGGTACGGGAGGCGCGGGCGAAGGGCCTTGCTCTCGCTGCACCGCGACTAGCCTGTTTAAGAAATGCCATTAAACCAATATCATCTTAATACATTGTTTAGGCAAGGAGGTGGTGGCCTTAAAGAGACAGACCCGATTTGAATACTTCATATTAATGGTGAGAGGACGTCTGTGTCAAAATGATAAGCTAACGTTTCTAATGAAAAGCTACACAAGCGATAGCAAGGATGCTATAGCAACAAAGACCAGATGCTTGGGAAATCAACTATCAATGTATATTTAGTGTCCCCTACTTAAACCAGTAAGCTGTCAGTGTGGGTGTGTGTCTATACAAGCACCTTGACCCTTTACTATCATTGATCGGAGGCAATGCTGCTTCTGCTTATTAGCAATGCAGCTAACGGTTGTTAGCCTGCAAGCTACAACCCAGTGCACCATCCAAGGTTAGCTAGCAAACCTGGCTAACGCTATAATGGATTTGCAAGCTAGCTAATCATAGTATAACGACGTAATAGCATAACACGATATATATTATTAATAACAACAACCTATTTTGTTCTTAAAAAAGCGTCCGAACTCTTAGTTGGCTTTAGTTTTTGTCATCCGTTAACAGGCGACAGAGTGAACTTGCATCAAAGTAAAGTGAATACGTAATGAAAAGTAATTACTGAGGAGGACAACCGAATCGTCACTCACTGTCATAACTCAAAAACATCACTTGCCACTCACAAATTAAATGATAACTTAGACAATGCATCAACACTCGGTTACTAAGTGATATTTAAATAATTGACTCAAACCATTAAAAGATGATACTTCAAATATATTCAATATGACTCTTAATAAACTGTTACTGATCTGAAAATATTATGTAGTAACACTTGGTCATTAAGGTATGTTAACGGTATAGTGGAAATGGTGGACTCAAACCACTTAAATATATCCAACTGTTTCTGTTAAAATAGTATGCAGTATACTAGCCTAGTGTGTTATTCAAACAATAGTAAATCAACTGTTCTTATATAAAGGAAAGCTGAATCAATGCATTTTGTACTATAAAGTACTGACATCATGTACATGATGGCAAATCATGTACAATTCATTCAATTAAATGCATAGTAATGTTGCAGAAGCTTTTTTTTGTTTTAGTCATTTCATTTCAATATGGAAACCTTCTGTGAAAATTACGAGCATTCACATTGTCAGAATTGTGCAGAACACCACACATGAAAGAACACTAGCCACCCATAAAAACACTATATCACTGTCATTTGTGAACATCAGTGTGTGACTGCAGTTTCTTCTTTTATAGGGGACTTTCACCATTGCCTGATCATTAATCTTGGAATCAAGGACAATGGCATCCCTTACTGAGAAGGTAGGTCCAATGTTTATGCTCTGCTTAATAAGTCCCATACAATGATGATTTTACAGTGCCTGCTAAGCCAATGGAGTACAAAAGTAAATTTTGGACTAAATGACATTGTTCCGACATGACTCAGTTTGAGATATAGGGCTTGATTAGTCTTTCTTCTTCTCTCTCTTTTTAGTAAACCCGCTGCCCTGTTGGGCAGAGGTGTCTGCTGCATGGCGTCTGGGCAGGGGGGCCGACCGGAGGCCGGGGAATCAGGGAGCTCTGGCCTGGCCAAACCTCTCTACCTGCAGCGCTTGGAAAGATCCCTGAGGTTGGACAGTTTCCTGCGCCAGACTGCCGCCATCTTCAATGGAGATATAACCACCAGGTACAGGCAGAGTAGAGTCTGGGTGGGCAAACACTTTTCAATTTTTGGTTCCAGTTGGCCCCTGATAACATTTTAGGGTTAATTTAAGTGGCTCATGCTTGGATGTTAAAAATTGTTTTGTGAATGCAATTGTGTGTGTATGGGTTTGCTGGTTAAAAACACTGTGTGCATTGTAAAAGGGTTGCACGATTTGGTAAAAATAAGTAATTGCTATTATTTTCAGGATAATACAAGGCATTATCTTTTTATTTTTTAAATCATTATTCAAGTTATCCTTGAACAATTCTACTAGATGGCCATGGTGTGAATTATTTTTATTTTTTAAGGACCTGTACTAAACAAGCTTTTTAATTTAATATGTTATATACTTTTTTTAAGCTGTTCTACAACACCACCACTATACTTCTTTCAGAATGATTTAAAAAAACATATTCTTTACTAAATATTGCACCTACTGCGATTTGGATATTGCACTAGTCCACATTGTGATTTGACTTATATTGTAGCAATCTTCCATCCAGTATATCAGGTCCTAAGTATCTAATGTTGTCCTACAATGTGCCCCCTGTCATGGATACAGTATTCATACTACCAGATACAAATCCAAAGAGAAGATTAGATATTTATAGGCTGCAAAGAGTGGGCTCACAGCTGCATACCTCTCATGTTCTAGTGATGAGAGTGATGACAGCGATGGAGGATTGGGGACGGGGTTATCCCTGGACGCCCCCACTCAGCATGCAGCTGTGACCGTGAAGAGTGAGCCGTGTGAGGAAGAGGATGGGCTCTCAGAGGAGAAGCCCCTCAACGGAGTCCTGCTGCAGGGTAAAGGTACATACAGAAACACTGATATTTATGTTATGCACATGTTAGTACACACTGGTTTTGTCTAACTGTTCATGGGGGTTCATGCATATTTATATTATGTTGTGTTTTTTTGTCCCCCTCTTAACTCCACAGACCAAAAGGCAGATAATGCGAGTCTCTACAACTTCTCCAAGCTGAAGAAGAACAGGAAATGGCTGAAGGTATTTTATAGACATTTTCTCATTTGCACTATGGATGTAATTGTTCAGTTGAGGAATGGATTACTCATAAAACTAATATATTTATTTAGTGGTCTAAAACTTGGCTAAACCCAAACTTGAAAAAACTGTTGAAATTGTCATGTTTTTTGTTGTTGTAAATAACTCAATGGACACAAATGTAAATGATTGTTATACATTTGTCTTTAAAAACAGTAAAAGTACCAAGAGAAAGCGCATTTTTACTTAAATCTCAGGCTATTTATCCTCTATTTCAATTTTCCATTCAAGCTCTTGCCAAAAATCTAACAATATTTCAAATACAATTAATTATGAACTATCTGTGCCCCTTAATTGATCAGTTATTTATCCTCCTATATATTTAGGAATGTAATAAGCTTCCAGTCCATTCCCTTTACCAATGGTTTTGACCTGCTTAACTATATTTGACTTATCCATATAGTTGAATAAAAAGATCACAGATGTTGTCCTTCTCTGTATCCTGTATCCTTTTTACCATGTTCCTCCTCCGTCTCCTGCAGACTATCCTTCTGAGTGACGACACCACGGACTCGGACACGGACTCGGATGACTCTGACTTCAGTTTGTCCCGGGACGAGCTGCAGGACATGCTGAGGCTCCATCGCTTCACCAGGCAGCATCAGAGCAAGTTCCACTCTGACCGGGAGGTAGGAGAAGCTCACATAAACACAGCGTCTGGTGACATAAGGAATTCCATTTGTAATGTCATCTTCACATTTATTTTCCTTTTCCCTTCAGCTTCACCAATACCAGTACTACAGCACTGGACTCCTCTCTACTCATGATCCTTTCTATGAGCAGCAGCGCCACCTGCTGGGCCCGAGGAAGAAGAAAATCAAAGATGAGAAGAAATTCAAGGGTAAAGACAAAAAAAAACTAATATCTCTGGAATCCTTTAGAATCACAGTTATGTAAATAACCAGACTAAAAAAGCATACATGTTTTTTTAAATATAGTCATTTACATGTTTTTATTCTATATATTTTTTTAGCAAAACTGAAAAAGGTGAAGAAGAAGAAGAAACGGGGAGAGGGGGACTTCCTGGATGATGGGCGTCCTTATATCACCAAGATCTTCGCAAAGTTTTCCCATGATGCTCCACTGCCCGTAGTGAAGAAGAAGCATCTCACCATTGAGCAGCTGAACGCACGGCGGCGTAAAGTCTGGCTCACTATCGCTAAAAAGGAGATTCCCAAGGTTCGTATGCATAACAGTGACAAAGACAACGTTAAACAGCTTCTTCCTTTTTATATATAGTAAAACATTTATTTGGAAAGGTGTAATTATTATTTTATTACTATTTTGCAGACCTTCAAGCAGAAGACCTCTGCTAAGAACTTAGTATTGACCAATGCCAAAAAGGTAAGTGTACACATCACAGTTTTTGTTTGATTAAGGATACATTTGAGTTTAAGTGGGATATTTAACCTCTGTCCCTTTTGTCCCAGTTGGCTCATCAGTGCATGAGAGAGGTCCGGCGCGCTGCCATCCAGGCCCAGAAGAACTGCAAGGAGACGTTACCGCGGGCCCGCCGCCTCACCAAGGAGATGATGCTCTACTGGAAGAAATACGACAAAGTGGAGAAGGAGCACAGGAAGAGGGCGGAGAAGGAGGCTCTGGAGCAGCGTAAACTGGACGAAGAGATGAAAGAAGTAGGTGGAAAGGAAAGGGAAACGTTTGCAAAAGGTTTTACCGAAGAGGTAAGATTCATTTATAAGGTTGGAAAGATAAATCGACGATAAAACGCTGCAAAACTGTCGTCTTCCCATAGAGATTAAAGCTGGTATTTTGGCACAGTTGCAGATAAAGAAGAATTAGTAGTGCTTAACTACATTTGAGTTGTGACTGCGTAGGATTTTCCCTGATAAAGGTGTGAACCCAACAACTCTAATAAAACAGAAAGTCACATTGAATTTGAGAAAAGATATCCGTAATCGTATCATTTCCTACATTGTCAATAGGATTTTATCATACGAAATAGTCTGCTTTAATACACAGTTGTTGGCCTTTAAAAAACCAAATGTTCTCTGTGTTCAAAAAAGAGGTTCCTCTTCTGCTTGACGCTCACAAAGGGAGTCACATACTTTATTAAAGAAAGTGGATTACATAAAAACTGGTTTCATTCCAATAATCACATCAAATATAAAGACAGAAGCATATTACATCTGTTCCAATATAACTTGATGAAACACAAGTATTCAAGTCTAAAGAGGTGGTATTATACATAATTAAAAACATCTAGAGTGGTGATATTAAAGGAAATGGCTTTTTCCTGCTTTTCTCCCGTCTCTCGCAGGCCAAGCGTCAGCAGCGTAAACTGAACTTCCTCATCACCCAGACGGAGCTGTATGCTCACTTCATGGGGGGTAAAGCCAGCATGGGGGGTCCGGAGGGAGACACGGCTCAGGTGGAGATTCTGAGGAAGCTGGAGGACAGTGCGGGTCTCAGACAGATCGACATCGGAGGAGGAGTGATGGTCAAAATGGGACAGGAGGATTACGGTATGAACGGCTCAGTCAAGTTTATTATAGTATTTCCCTTTGTTTCTAAATACATGCCTAATAAACCATTTATTAGTATATTTGTATTCTGTTTCGTTTAGATTATATTTCATATTTTCCCTCCCAACATTTTCTGTTTACTAATGATGATATTTTACATTATTTTCAAGCTCAATAAAAAAAAAGTATATATATAATTTGTTTGAAGAACATTCTTTAGGTATTGTTTATAGGAAAGAAAATGAAATGTTGAATTATTCTGTTTTATTCACGAGTGGATTATGTACGGTTGCAGATAGCAGTTACTACAAGTCCCAGGCGATGAGGAATGCTAAAGAAGCCTACCAGATTCACCAAGAGAGAGTGAGTCGATGTCTGCACACACATCCATTCCACACACACTCCCTCTGTTGACACTGTGCTAATCGCCAACTCTCTGCCCGCAGACGCGGATGTTTGACGAGGAGGCGAAGGACAGCCGCTGTGCGTCACTGCACGCCGTTGTAGGCCCGTCCTCAGGCTCAGGGTTCGGAGAGAGCTACAGCCTCGCCAACCCCTCCATCCACGCCGGCGAGGAGATCCCTCAGCCCGCCATGTTCGACGGCAAGCTCAAGGGTTACCAGCTCAAGGGCATGAACTGGCTAGCCAACCTTTATGAACAGGTACATTTTCTCCCCATAACACTCAATAGACACACCAATCCGTGCTTAAAACATGAATACAAAGATGTCCTGCAAGTCCTGGATTCAATACTGTTCTTAACTTACATTTGTTTGTACTCTGCTAACAAAATTAGAACTACCCAAGAAGGATTTTAGTCATCATATGTTTGGATCTTAAGTTTTCAGGGAATTAAGCTCGGCAAATATTAGCCTTTAGCATGAGCCCCTCCTTCCTGTGTCACACTATTTTTTTACGTGAAACTCAATTCACATGTTCCCTTTTTTAAACTTGTTTTGTACAGAATTGTTTGTACAGAATGAAAGAAACATTTCTGGACACATATGATTGAATGACTCCTCTTGTTTCTCTATGTGCTTATGTTGTTTGAAATATACATTTGTATCTTTTGTGAATAAAATACTTAAAGGTCAATGAATGTTGATGCTTTTATAGGCGTATACTTATAGTATGGACTCATCTGTCGGCCTACTATAAAACAGTAAAATAATTCAAAAGTTGCAGTGTCATATTTTGTATTTGTTATTCATACCCACTGATTGATTTATTTTCTCCTGTGTTCTCTCTCTGCAGGGAATCAATGGAATCCTGGCAGATGAGATGGGACTGGGGAAGACGGTCCAGAGTATCGCCCTGTTGGCTCACTTAGCAGAGGTGAGGCCAAAGGCTTTCATCCATCTCACACTTTGAAAAAGCGCATGGAATATTTGATTGTCTCTGCTGTTGTTACTCACCTAAGGAAACATGTAACGTCCAGCTTCTTTTTCCACCTGCATCCTTTAAAGAGACCCTTCATTGTCACATTACTGTTTTCATTGTTATGCTTTTGTTTAGTCTCAAAACACCCAAAGCAGATACAGTGAAATCTAGGGGAAATGTGTGCTAAGTGATGAGCTATCCCTAAAAGAAGGATGCACACCGTCTCCCTCCATGGCTTCCTGTTTTCAGAGCTTCTCACACATACAAATAGCACCTGCCGTCCAGCTGAATCCCTTTTTCTTGTTCCTGCACAGAAGGACAACATCTGGGGTCCCTTCCTGATCATCTCTCCTGCATCCACGCTCAACAACTGGCATCAGGAGTTCACTCGCTTCGTGCCCAGTTTCAAGGTGAGGATCCCTTTTTTGAAATTCTGCTGAGCGGAAACACCTGCGAAATCACGTCCGCAGGAGTCCTGACATCCTCATCTCTAATGTTCGCTTTAATTCCTTTAATGGAATGGTTGTAAGCCTTGGTTCCGGGACCATTAAGGGGGTCGCAAGATCATTTCTGGGGGTCTCCAAAAAGTTGTAGGGAATGGCTTTTACTTTACAATTGCTTTTACCAGTGATATCATTGAGCCCTACTCATTTCCAAGCTTTCACAGAATTAATACTGCTAAATGTTCGGGTAACTAATGAACGATCAATGTGGGGAGGGGGACGCAAACATAATTATTGTTAGGAAAATCGAATCAAAAAGGTAGAGAACCACTGCTCTAATCGACTTAGTGATCCAATGCTTCTTTTTTTTTCAAACATCTGATCATTTATAACCAAGATGAAGGGTTCAAAAACGGCCAGAATTTCCAGAACCCTCCATTAGAGGGCAGTGTTGCACCAGGACATTGGTACCATGACTCCAAAGCTGTCAACACTTTGATTGTTGAGTGGCTGCACTTCCTTTTGCATGTCTTTACCGGCCTCTGACAGGCTGTGTGCATTCAATAATGTTAAAAAGCATTCATCAAACACATCAATTTGTTGGCTATGCTCTAATTCACACACACTCACACACACACTCACACTATTAAATGCCTAACTTGTTGCTGTGCCCATTTTCTCTGAGAATTCAAAAATAAATCATTTCCAGTTAGTTTTGCTAATGAGGTGTGAAAAGACCCTATTACACCATTTGAAGATAAGCTTCCTACACACTCAAAGCAGGACTGACTGAAAACAATGGAACACCGGCGCGATGAGGGATGAAATGATGTGCAAATCTTTTCACATCACACTGCACATCAACAACTCGCTGACTGAGGCTGTGAATCATACCCGTTGCTATGCCTACATGCTTCTCCTGGGAACATCCCTGGAGCTCTGTTTACTTGTTACATTGCTAAAAATAAACACTCAGTTTTGATATTAATTTGCTTAAATTATTTACAGAGCGGATTCTTCATGTTTTTAATCCATTAATTGTCTCTGGGTTTGTATTAATATTGGATATTACTTGCGTTTTTCCATTTTAATCTGCTTTGTACTTCTACTCTACTACATTTCAGATGCTAAAATGTTACTTATAGTCCATAAAATGTGTGCAAAGTTACTAGTTAACACACTTTACATATACAACACATGATTTACTTTTACAATATGATTACATTGCATTTAGCTGACACTTTTATCCAAAGCGACTTACAATAAGTGCATTCGACCAAGAAGATAGAAACTTGAAGAAAACAGAATCATATAAGTACATCAGGTTTCATCGAGCTAAAACATTTCAAGTGCTACTCAACTGGCTTTAGATAAGCCAGTCCTTTATTAGTATATAAGTGCTTTGTTAGTAATTATAATGCTCGAAGTGGAGTCGAAAGAGATGAGTTTTCAGTCTGTGCCGGAAGATGATGCAGTACTGTACTTCTAACCGAAACAAATCATTAAAATATTATCAAAGCTTACCTCAGCTCTTCTCTACTCAAAAGCAAGACACGGCCTTTTCTACTCACGTCATTTGACATGAAGATTGGTTAGGTCTTAAAATTTTTATCTAGGATTTTACCCGAGGTATAACTGTTGATGTTGTATTTTTCACTGCTTTTTTCCTCCCTACTTAACAATTGACGCCCCATTGTAGTCCCATTCGGTCTCGTCTCTGTTCTCAAACCCCAGGAACGGAATGACCCTCTTTTATTTGTCGTCTGTGTTTGTTGAACGAATTTGTGTGTGTGTGTGGTGTGTGTGTGGTGTGTGTGTGGTTAGTGTGTGTTTTGTTGTGTGTTGGTGTGTGTGGTATGTGTGTGTGTGGTGTTGTGTGTGTGTGTGTATGTGTGTGTGTGTGTGTGTGTGTGTGTGGTTGTGTGTGTAGTCGTGGTGTGTGTGGTGTTGTCGTTTTTCGTCGTGCTAAATGTTAACCTATATTGGTGTAAAAGTTAAACAACCCTATTTCCTTACGTTTTTATGCCAGGTTTACATTTGACACACGTCCTGTCTGTCGTAACAGGGGTGTAAGCTTATTGTCGTTACGGTTAGAGAACTAACAACTCCGATGTATTTCTACGGACAGTTTTACAGATTGTATATAAAGTGTTACTATTAACGGATGTTACTACCCTTCAACAGGAAAAGAGATAATGCACGGTGTTTTTGTTGTGTTTCGAACATAAAATAACAAAGAATAAAAATTCATTCCTTGATCATTTTAATGAAATGGCAATTTTTATTTGTTATTTTATGTTCGAAAACACCCACAAAACACCGTGTCATTTCTTTTTCTGTGAAGGGTAGTAACATCGTAATAGTAACACTTTATATACAATCTTGTAAAAACTGTCCGTAGAAATAACATCGGATTTGTTAGTTCTCTAACTGTAACCGACAAATAAGCTGACACTGTACGAAAGAACAGGACGTGTGTCAAAATGTAAACTGGCATAAAAACGTAGGAAATAGGGTTGTTTAAACCTTTTTATCACCAATATAGAGGTTCAACTTTCAAGCGACGACCGAAAAACACACACACACACACCACACCACACCACACACACAACACACACACACACACACACACCACACACACACACACACACACACACACACACACACAACACACACACACACACACACACACACACACACACAAAGACACACACACACACACACCACACACACACACAACACACCACACACACACACACAATCGTTCACAAACACACAGACACAATAAAAGGGGTATTCCGTTCTGGGCGGTTTAGACAGAGACTAACCGTAAATGGGACTTTACAAATGGGGCGCAATTGGTAGTAGGGAGGAAAGAAGCAGTGAAAAATTACACAATAAACAGTGAATACACCTCGGTAAAATCTAATAAAAATTTA